GCATGCCTCTCCCTGCCTCCCACCCTCCTCATCACACCCCCCAGGCAGCTTGTCCCACAGCAGTGGAAGGACGAGGAAGGTCTCGAGATACCTTCACCTCCTCCCACCCCAGCAGAGATGGCAGGGTTTGTGACCTGCACTTCCACAAGGCAGAGGCTGTTCTTGGGTGGGCTTGGAGGGTGGCTCCACCTTCCTTGAGAAATGCTGGGGTAGAAAGAAGTGGGGGGTGCAAAGGGACCATGCTCCTCCATCTCTGTCCTGCTGCTCCCACCCCAGAGGCATTTGTTTTACCTTTAAAAGCAATTATTTTCATACCTAGAGCACAGCCTGAAGATTTGAGTCCAGATATTTGAAAAGCAGTGCAGAATTTTGCCCTGACTGCTCAGTCTGAATGCTGCTCTGAATGCAAACATCCCCTCTTTTTGGAGCCTTCGACCTGAGGTGTTTCCTTCACTCTTTCATCGTGCTGCACACAGCGTATTCCTGTAGGTTAAGCTATTAAACAAGCATATACCAGGGTGGTGTGTGCTGAGTGATCTGTGAATGCTCCTGGCATTCTCTCTCCCTGCCACACCAAAGCGACTGTTCTTGGGAAGTATCTTCAGTCATTGTTCAGGTATTCTCCCATAAAAATGGAAGATTAAAATTTATGGAGTTGATCCATTAAAAATAACCTACTTCAACATGTTTTTTTCATGCTTGCAGACACAACTTAAAGTCAACAGTAGTTTCTGGTGGCAGAGGGTGACCTAGGAGGTCTGCAAGGAGGGACAGAGCCAAGGTTCCAAGGTTTTCCTGACCGCTAGGCACATACTGTGGAAGCTGCCACTCATGGAGATGAAACAATAGCCCATTTCTGCTGTTTGTGGTACTTCAAAACATTTTTCAATAAGCCCCCCCCCTCAAAATAAGGAGAAAGAAGTATGGAGTAGCATCCTTACTTGTTTTTGCTGTTGTCCCTTCCCTGGTGGATTAAATGAGCTTGAAGCAAGTGACAGTGCTTTTTGCCGAAAGCAGTCGATTGTTTCTGTCCTCATTACCTATTGCGTATCAAAGCAAAAAGCCCTTGAAGATCAGCGCAATCCAGCCAGGAGCTGGAGGCTCCCTTTCTCCCTGAGGGATGGGCTCCATGCTCCCATGCTTACCCCTGCACCCAGCAGCATGGGGAGCATGCAGCACCCCTTCCTGCAGGATGGTGTGTAACTGGGGCACCAGCCAGGAGGCTGGGCTGTGAGTGGGGCAGCAGCACCTTGCCTTTAAACCTCTTAACATGCATGGAAGCTGTAAGGCTCCCGAAGGGCAAAGGAGCTTAAAGAGGTGACAGCATCCTCCAAGGCTCAAGAATCCCCCAAGGCATTGCTCTGCCAGGGTGAGCTGCTTTGGAAGACCTGCAGGAGTTTGGGTGCCTTGCTGGATCTTCCTGATTTTTTTTAAACCTAAGAACAAAAGCTGAAAGAATCACACACACACACAAAAAAAAACTCAGTCTCCTGTCTCATGGTTCTTTCTATCTCCCAATGCTGTTCAGAGGAGATAAACTGAAAAAGTAGCTCCTGACACAGTATTTTGGTAGGCAAGTATCCGGTTTGGTACTGGCAGAAACCTAGGACAATGAAACAAGACAACTTGGAAGTCATTACAAACAGCAGGCAGATTTAGGAAGTTCTTTATTTTAAGTTGAGTTTTGCTAAGCACCATGTGGACTTTGATTTCCACTTACTATAAAAGCCCAAAGTATGCCTATATAATAGTAAGTGGGTACAGGAGCTGAACAGCCTATTTCTTCATCAGTTCTTGTTCACTGTTTTCACTGAACTTTGCAAGTCTCTTCAACATAAAAAATAATTGACTTTTACATTTGCATTTGAGCTGGCTACATTATTACTGGATCTTTCTAGTCCTTTCTACTCAGCTCGTATTTGCTTAATGGCACATGAAATCATTTGTTTGAAGCTGGCATTTCACTGCAGTATTAGCTAGTGATTCTAACAAGGGGCCGGGGTCCGAAATTTAAGATGCAGACCATCTTTTAGGGAAAAAAAAAAAAGGAGGGAAGATTCCAATGCTCTTGGAAATCCTCACTTTTAGGATGCTGTAGTGATGAATGAGCTGAAGTATAGAAGAAAAATAAACTCAATTCCCGCTATTCAAACACTCAGCAACTCCTTCCAAGCAAAAAAACAACAAGCTATTGTGTGCTTGTGCTGGTAAGGCTGGGAGGAGACAAGAGTTTCCCACAGGCAAATTAGGAAATGGAAAAGCAGAACAAAACCCACAACCCTCAAAATCCCAAGCAAGGAACACAAGTTACTTTCTGTTTGTTTCAAACATGATTTGTGTTATCATTAGGTGGTTTTAATAGGGCTTCAGTCTTACTCTGGGAGGAAAGCCCTGGCTTTGCTTGAGCAAACAGCAATGACCACTCAGACCTGGGAAACACGAGGGAAGCAGCCTAACCCATGTTCACCATCGCACTGGAGCACTTACTGAGAGCAGTGTCCTCCTCCCGTCCTCTCATATGCTCTGGGGGTTGACCACATTTAGCTAGAGCCCAACCAAACTTGCCAGTGCCCAGCCCAGCAGGGACACAGCTGACACACACCATTTATCCAAAGACCCATACAGACTGTGCTGGGACCAGACCTGAAACCCAAGAAAGGAGCATCCTGAGTCCTGCAATATTTTGGCATCTCGTTTGGGTTTGTATAAAGGTAAAAGGGGATAAGAAGGTTAAAAAAAAAAAAAAAAAAAAAGCTACCTGATAAGGAATCTTAGAGTTGAAACTGTTGAGTTTACTTTGACCAGTCCCCATGAGGCATATGTGAAGCCCCTCTCCTTCAGTTTCTTCAGCGTCTTCCAGAAGATACTGGGAGTGATTTCTTTGCTTTCAACCATGTGGGGCAAGAGAAAGCACAGTGAGTAATTGTCAAGCGCAGCACGCTCTGTTGCGAGGATCACAGGGTTAACACAGCACTTTGCAAAGAGCAGGAGAGCCCCCAGCCACCCACCCATGGCAAGAAGGGCGCTAGCCCAGCTCCGCCTGGCTGCTGCTGCTGCTCAAAGCCACCCTCCAGTGGACGGGCAGCGAGGCCAGTGCTGGTGAGAGCAACCTCCCTCCCCAGGGAGACCAGGGATACCTGCAGCCCTCTGCCTGCCCCAAAGAAAATTAAGATTGCACCAGTGCAGGAATCTCGCATTTTGCCATGCGGACCCTGTTTTATTTTGTGATATGCTACCTTTTGTGGACCAAATCTTTTGAGAAATAAGGGATTCCTACCATAGTCCACTAGAAAAAGGAACTGTGAAGGGGTGCAGCTGCTTCCTCGAAGTAGTGCTATGGGATTCCTTGGCAACTTATCACACTGAAAAGTTCATTCATTTATTTTTATGATCTGATTTAGATCAAACCAAAGGACATTAGGCAAATTCAGAAACTATTCAATAGCCATTTCCAATGCATTAAGTACTCTGAAGGAAAACATTTATACTAGTGGAGCAATATAATTAGGGGACCTCTAGAGGTAAAAAAGCTTTACCTAGTGAGCAGCTGTTCCAATAACAAATTTGTTATGTAAACCTTGCATACACAAAGCGAGTTTCAGAAAATGAAATCTCATTTGAGACATTTCTTATTTCTTCAGGAACAGTTCAGTTAAACTCAGCTACTCACCCATCAACAAAACATGCAGCATGTATGTTTTGTGTACTGAATGTCTTCCCAGAGTGGATAAGCACTCTTGGCCACTGGATGTTGCAGGTGTGTTTGCCTAGAACAGCAGCGCAGGCCATGCTGTACAAACACTAACTCTCATTTAGTTTCAAAATTTCAAAGCAGAAAATCCACAGACGAGACAGATCCTTATGTTCACATCAGTTTCAGCTGAAGAACTGATTTGGAAAAAAAAAAAAAAACAAACAAACTTGACAAATCCAACTAAGTTAAAGCTTCTCAAACCCTCCTGCAACATTAACCATGATTTGGGTCCAGCAGCAGGTGGGCGAAGGAACTGCTGTGTCTCAGCAGCTTCTCCAGCAACTCACATCCTCACCCATCCTTAGCAGCAGCAGCAGATATGGAGACACCAGGCTCAGAGACACTCCCATCCCGTTAAAATCTGAGCACCCACCTGCCTTCCGCAACCTCCTATAAAGTAGAGGCTGTATGTCTCATCTCATTAACCCAGCTCTGGCTTCGCTGGCTGGCTCACTGCGTGGCTGCCCCCTTACAGCCCCGAGGCTTGCGAGGAGCAGCCAGAAGCCCTGGTACCTACAGCCTCGAGCAGAGGCACGGCCACAGCCCCACAGAAGGCTGCAGGGAGCCAGGCTGGGACCCTGCTCCAGACCTGCTCTGAAACAGCTTGGCAGCTTTTTAATTAAACAGCCAGAGGAGTTTCTCCAGCCCGTGCCAGGGCTGGGACACACTACCAGGGGCACTGCTGCTGCAGGAGCAGGCGAAGCGCAGGCTGCAATGGGTTGGTGTTGCTCTTAGCACTTCACCACGGTCTGGGGACCACCTTTGCCACTTCCTGCAAGCACAGCACAGCAAAACACAGGCTCTACGCTAGCTGTCAGTAATTCACGAGATTACCAACAGCTGAGCCATTTAAGGCAGTACTCCCTGTTTGCTTTGCCTGGTACAAAACCAGATACAGATCTGGGCTTCATGTTTGTGGAAGGTGGCACATAATTACCAGCAACACATCCCAAGCATACTTACAGAATCACAAGTGCTTGCATACCTCAGTGTCTGTGGTTGACACACCAAACATGAAAGAAATGGAATTTAGCCTAATAAAAACTAATAGCTTTTAACAGTGCCTTAAACAAACCAAGCCACTCAAGTCAGAATATAGCCTATAGCTTAAGTAGCTATAGTACAATGATCCAGTGGTTTCATACCTTTACCTTTCAAATAAAACATCAGAACGACAAGTCAACTTGCACAGCATTGATAAAATGAGCTATCGGTACCAGGAGAGTAAGAACCACAGCCAACCGTCTTTTTTTATAAAAGTATTTTTAATAAACTGATGGATTTAAGATGCTAGACAACTTGTTGCCATGTACAGGTAACAAAAGTCAAAATTCTTTGAATTTTATACAAATACTATGTAGTATTGTAAACTTGAATACAAGTTTACCAAAAATGCATCAGTGAATATTCAGCTTGTAACCAACTTCCAACAGTGAAAATTATCATGTATCAATAGTGATCAGAATTGCATTGCAAATTTTAGAAGTAATGCAAGTATATTTTTACCAAGCCACTCTGAAGTTACTGGTGCACACTGACAGTACATTGGATTTTTTTTGGCTTGCTGAACAGAAAATGGCATTTAAATAAAACGACCGAGTTAAAGAATATACTACGTATCAAAAGTACTATCTTACAGAAAACTAAACAACAATGAGAAAGTAAACGGAGCAGAACCCTGAAGTAGTGAATTATTTTTCTACCCGTTTTGATGGAAAAGACTCCACAGGTGTCCAGCTTTCTCACAGCATTTTGGAGTGTCCTAGTCCTAGCACAGTGTGGCTGTTAGTAGACTAAAGTAATCCCTGCTTGGCAGTAATGCTGGTGAAAGGTAACTTGTTCTATTGCTAACAAATCGGAGTAACCACTGGCAGGGTGACTTCTTGGAGGCATCCAGCAGAGGCTGAGTTCACAGCACATGGTTGAAGTTACAGTACCACTTGCTTCGATGCAATACCCAACAGCCTTCAGGGTTCACATGTCAGTTTCCTCACAGGATTTACAAATGGATGGTATTTAAACAAAAAAAATGGAGCATAAGACAGTATTTTCACCTGTACAGCTACCAATAAAATGAACATTTTTGTTACAAACTTTCCAGTCTGCTTTATAAAAAATATTCTTAGTTTTACTTCTAAATAAAAACTGTGCTGTGATCTGTCGCTTTCTTGCATTGTACATGCTGCAACTGTGTGGGTTAATGAAGGTGTAGAGATTTGTGACCTAGAGCTCTGGATATATTAGAAGCCTAGAAAGCTGGTTTTGGTACATAAAAGTTAGGTAGCAATGAAAATTCATTCTATTTATTTTTCCTAAAGCCTAGGAAGAGCTACAGTACATTGCTAGATCAGTGGCCTCAACCCTGAGCTGAAATAAAGGACCTGCCTTGACCAAGAGACTTAGTCACACTCCTACCACAGCTGCACAGGAGAGACAAAACTTATCTATGGTCTGTCACCTTCGCTGTAAGTAGTGTGATCTTTCCTTCTGTAATGCTTGAGAGTTGACTGGAGACCACCATGTTCATTTTCACAACAGGAAAAAAAAGAACTCAAATTCAGAGATTCAGGATCAAAGAAAAAACAATCAGGGAGAGTCAGTATGTCCAACTTCTGGAGACCAAATAGATAACATGATAGACTTGTCAGTCTTAAGCATTTCCCACTTGGTAGAAGAGATTATAAGAACACGTACCAAAGCACAGTTAGCAAGACTTCTACCATTATCCCACTCTTTCAAGAAAAAAGTAGCACTTGATTTTCGCCCCCCGCCATAACCAAACATTAGCATTTCTTTCTGTCACTACAATATACCACAGTTCAGTGAAAGCTTCAACTGTCCTACAAATGACTCGGCCCAACTGCAAGCAGAAAGACTTCTCGCTCATTTTTAACATGAATTGGAGTTGGCCATCATATGAATTCTTACTAGAATATAACCTACTGCGCCTTCCTGAAGGGTTCAATGGCACTGACTACACATAGCTAGGAGAGTACGTAACATTAAGCATTCTTGCCTCCTAAGAGGATTTGTTTTTACCCCTTTTAAGTAACAAACTGTAGAGTCAGTATTTCACTTAATGGAAAAATTAAACCCAGCAACAAATCAAAGCCAAAGCTCGTAAAAATCATTTATACTTCTAGTAATGCACACGTCTTTGAGAGCTGATCAGTTTACAGATGGTATGTTTTTGTTACAGTTTAAGGCAGCAAGTCTTACCTCCCTCATGTTTGTGCTACTGTATCCTCATGTGCACAATAGAACCTCACTAATTTACACTAATAACTGGAAGAACCATTAATTCTCTTGGTAAGTGAACAAGAATAAGGCATTCCATTATATATTCTGATCACTAATTATAATTTAGCTCTAATTATAATCTACCAGCAAACATACTTCTGTGTTTTAGAAAATAGCATCTCTTACCTTCAGATATAATTATGTGTGCAGATTAGTGGGTTCTGCTGTGTAAACACGCAGGTGCATAAGCAGTTTTCAGGTTTTTCTTCATTACATCTGACAAGAAAGTTAATGCCACAGACAGAAACTGCGGGAAAATAAATTAGGATTTCTCTATAATTTGTGCGAATCTGCACGACTGGGCAGTAATATGTAAGTAAAAAAAAAAAACACTAATGTTTACAAACTCAAATGAAGCAAAAATCAGCAGCAGAAAGCAAGGCCATTCCCCAACCATAAATGGCTTGTATTATACTGTTCAAACTACGTGAGGGGAAAAAAAAAAAAAGAATACAAGTACTAACTTTTATATACAAGTTTTAAATCAAGTAAAGCAAATGGCAAAAAAAAAAAGTTGTTGATGCTTTCAACAGGTGATATTTACATGTCTAAATCCTGGCTGAAGTAGACTGTAAATACAGACGGAAGTTAGGATGCAAACTACACGGCTAAGTTTAAAAAAAAAAACACATTAGGGATCAATGTGCAGTGTAATGAGATAGAAATTTCCCTTCATATGTGCAAAAATCCACAGTTTCGTTAATGTAGAGGTCATACTTCTTCAATAAGAGATCTTCGACAAAATCAGTCTCCCTACATCCCGGAATCTACCTGTTTACATCAGCCACTTTAAGTGTACAGTACCCTGTTCGCATATATAGTATTCAGCAGTTTCTACATTTCTCAGAAATTTAAACTTCGCCTGCCTTATATCTTGAAAACAAAGGGGAGAGTTCATCCAGGGCATAATACTACTGCCTTTGAGTTATACCAACAGTTAATAAAACACATGTTCTCTCTTCTTCCATGGTGGCAGGAGTCCTTACAGGACTTGTAAACAGCAGTACACCATACTGTAAACAAATAATTTAAGTTCTGCTTTATACAAGATGTTAAGTTAACTCAGGTCTATCAAACAGGTGAAAATGAAAAGGGTGGCTTCACATAAGATCCTTCCCTTTCCTCCCAGCAATTCTTTTCACTACATAAGTAATCCTGAGCTGAAACAGGGGCTGATGAGAGCCATTTTTGCATATAAAAACAATGTTCTAGAGTCAGCTCTCATGTTCTGTCAGGAAGTCAGTTGCTGGAGAGATTAAACTGAAGTATTTCAAACCATTGTTACTTTGGAGGAGGACTTATAATTTGGTGTGACGTCCAGTTCTAGACCCAGATGCTGAGCTTGCCAAGGAAGCTGATGCTGCTGCATCCTCAGCTTCCTCCAGCTCCTCGTGTAGCTCCTGGCTAACACTAGACTGGAGGGCTGCAGGAGTTAGCCATTCCTTCGGCAGGCAGCTCTGGAGAAACGGTATACAAGAGCTGAAGTAGGCAAGACGATTCACCCATCGTGGAATCTCCTTTCCACACAGAATCTAGGGCAAGAGGGGAAGGAAAGGATTAACTTGTCTTCTTGGTTCAGCAGCAACAAAGCTACATGACTGTAAAGAGAAAGCAAAGGCTGCAGCACTCTTAGATTTATGCATCACAAACACCATTCAAGAAGCACTCGGCTGCACTAAGACAACTTGGTCCATCAGTAAAAGCACCAACCCAAGTTGCAGAGACTTGTTTTTCACTCTAAGTTTGACATATGGTCCTGCTTTCCTTCTGTAAGGAAGGAAAGTAGGGGGTGTATTTTTATTTTGAGTTCTGAAAAGCCCAAACACCTAGCTCTTTTTGAATAGTTTCTATAAAAGGCACAGAAATGAGTTAAGCTTTATTTTGTATTCACAGACAATCCTTCAGGAACAGCGGCCAAATGAGAAAGCTCACTATTACAGATGTGCACCCTGAAATCAAGCAGTCAAAAAAACACTGCTAGTATTACAGCTACGTGGAGTTACACACACAGCCCAGGATATTTACTATGATTGTCTCTGATGACTCTGGACCAGAGATCACTATCTCACACCACACAGGCTGCTAAGATCACTAGAACAAGAGAAGCAATACAACACAAAGCTAGCTTCAACCCCTCAAAAATATATAAATTTGCATTAAATATTTGTTTTTACTACACAGCAAGTCATTAAATGTTTTCATTGTCACTATTGAGGGAGTGACCTATTTTATTTAACTGCCTCCATGTTCACTTTGAGCATTACTTATTCCAATGCAAATCCGGAGAAAATCATAGCTAACAGGAATGTTACTCTGCTGTAACTGAATAGCATTTTATTTGTAATTATATCCCTGGTTTTTAGTCAGCTTGAACACTGAATAGGACATGAGATAAAACAGAAACGACATGATCATGCAGTTCAAGGGTATGGCAAGTGGCTGGCCATATGGGCCAGATGTCACGTCAACTGCAGCTTCACCAGTGGGCCACCCTACTAATTTGTACCAGTGGGCCACCCTACTAATTTGTACCAGTGCTGCATGCAAATCATCCACTTCAAAATTTTCCAGCACCACTGGAAGATCACACTACACAAAGCAAAGGCTATACAGTAAGCATGCCATTAACTTTTTTTTTCCCCTTCTTCTTCCTCCGGAACGGTTAAGTTTTATGGAAGATTGCCATGGAAAACACAGCCATCCCTTTTTCGGAAAGCCTCAATGAGCATTAGAATAAATTCTGACAAGTACAGGTTAGCAACTACTAATGAAAACACAAGTGCCATTCCCCTCTTTGTCCTGGGTTATTTGTTCCTCACCCTTCCTCTTGTGTTGGTACAAGCACGTGAGTGATCAAGCACTCAATCCTACTGGCAAACTGGTAAGGTTAAAATAAAGCTGAGGGGGAAAAGCAAAGCCCATTCAATTCCACCACCAGATACTTTTGCACACCCACACAGGTATCTACATGACCAGGACACAGGTGCTGGCAGAGGGATAACTTGACAAAAGCCTCTCAGACAGCAGATTCACTTCTGAACCTTCAAGGCTTTTGTTGTTCTTTAATAGTACATCGTAACTTTAGAAATTATTTTCAGTGTGAGGGAACACTGGTAAAAGCAGCATGTGGCTCTGTCTCCTGTAGTGATCTACGAGGAGTCTGACAAGGTCCTGCAATGCTGTTAATACCTGCTTTACCAGGTCTCTCAAACAGGAACACCTCCCCCCTTCTGGACCTCAAACTACGTATAACAACGTCTAGCATTTTTGGCAGCATAATCTTGCATTTTGGACATAAGCCCAAAAATCTGAAGAAATGGTAACATTTACCCAAGGTAACAAAGATAAGACACTGGAAATTATGCCAAACAATCCAAAGGACAGGAAGGAGATGACGCTCTGTAGCCACCTGGGATGCACCTTTCTATAGACCCTCGTGTTTGTTTACCTCAGATAAAGCTGAAGAAAAGTGATTGCAGTTTTTGTGCATTAGGTGATAAGCATTTCCTTTGAATTCTTTTCCAAGCTCTTCTACTATTTTTTCTATGTCATCTTCCATAAAGTCAGTACTGCCTAGAACCACAGCCTCTCTAGAAAGAGAAATAGAGATTAGAAAATGATTAGGCTGCCATAAAATAAGTAGATAACTGTTCTCAAAGTGCTCAAAAATTACCATACTGCAGGTGGGGAAATCTTTCTGTCCTCCTAGAATAACATACTTTTTTTTTTCTATTGCATTTTACAGCACCACTTCCATCTTACATGATGTTATTTTCTTGCTGACTGCCCACCTCTGTTCCACTTAAGTTCTCTGCAGCTTAACTCACAGAAGTGCAGGCTGCAATTTTCCCCTCTTCTCCAAAGGATATTGTTTATGGAAGACAGCTGGGAATAGGCAGGGGTTTGTAATGCAAGGAAGGGTCAAGACAACCACACTGAGAAACCACAAAAAAAAAAAAACACACAAAAGATGTGGAAACCTTGAAAAGCAACACCATTACCTTTGTATAAAAATTTCACTACCTTGAAAGAGTTACCCCATTGTATATATGGAGAATAATAGAAAGCTAGCTACGAGTCCACATAATTTATGCACATTTAAGGAATTTAACAGTACGCTAAAAATAATGTTCTTTGCTGCCATCACCTCTTCCCATTTTTCAAAGAAAAGAAAACATGCTATTATCTCACTAAGTCAGAAATCCTTGGGTACCATTTAACACACTTAAAAATCCTTGTTTCCTTATCCTTAAAAATACATTCAACCAGCTGTCCTTTTAGCATACCTTCTAAAAAACAAGAAAATAGATATTTTTCTTACTTAAATTTAAACGTTTCTCCTAGCTCAGAAGCATTTCCTGGTGAAATTTCAAATATTCCAGAAAAAGGGTATGGATGACCACCGTAGGCAAATTCTGAAAAAGAAAGCTCAGGTTAAAAAAATAATAATGATGTAAGATGACAGTAAAGAACAAGAGACCTCATCAACTGGTATATCAATTGCAAGGATCTTCTAGTCGATGAGAACTTCACAAGGACCTAAACCTAGAAACCAGGGCAACAAATGCAAAGAGCGACCAACTAATAGGTTGACTTCTAAGTTAATAAAACTAAGTGAAAATTGACAAAAAACTTGCTATATCAGCATGCAGGCTTAATTAATAAGTGTATATAACTGGTGGGATTTTCAATTTAACTTTTAAATCTTCACTTATACAATGAAAGCAATGTTTTTTACATGCGCTTAGCCCCACAAGTCTACTTAAATATTTACAGATTAGGGATTCAAAGTACAGCATCCTCAAAGGTCTGATGGTACACTACAGCTGTATGCGTTGCCAACTAGTATTGGCCTAAAAGGTTTTTGAATTTTTTGATATGCAAGAGTTCAACTATCCTGTGTTCTTCTCTAAGAAGAAAGTAAACCAGTGCACAGATCTGAAGTCTGCACCTAACATCTGCTGGCACAAGCCCTTACAGTTCATGAAGGTATCAGTGTGCTTTAACTTCCTTCTGTGTCTGTAAGATAACACACCACGCCACACCCCGGGTATAATAAAAAGCTTTAAGCATGACTTCACACTTCCTTTCCTAAAAACTTGAAATACATCATCCAAGTCTAGCATTCAGCTTTGTGGATAACCTTTTTTAAAACAGGTTAATAAATAAAGTTTGAGGTACTGTGAAAAATGCAAGTCATTGTTCTAGCAGGGGCACGACCTAATATGAGAAAGCTGTTACAAGCTGTACAGGAAGGGAGACGTGGATTTGGCACAGCGCAAGGACTGGGTTTCACACACACCACTACTAGGAGTCAGGCCCTTCTGGTTTGGATTAGAAGAAATTCAAAGAAGATTTTAACTGTAAACATTGTATTTCATCAACTCCCCGTTCCTCTGATAACACCTGCAAATCCAGTTACAACGCTACTATTATGGTAGCTGCAACACCTACAGCTTAAGATACTTGCACAACGGGGCCTTTGGATCAGCTCACAACCCCCACTGCTTTTCCTCACCTCCAAACACATTCCAATAAAAGAAAAATAACAAGTATATGTAAATATACATCTAATCAGACTACTTTTAGCAACACCATCACCTCAGAAAGGGATTTTACTTCTAGGTATGAATGTCTAAGACCGAAGCTTGCACCCCTTCTGGCCGGGACTGGAATCGAAAGTGGCCTGCGTAAATCAGGAAGCTGCCTCCCAGAGTACAACCCACTGGGCAAAATCAGGACATATCGCTCTATTTATCAGCAGTGTATCTTTCGTAAATAAACAGTATGCATAAGATACCTTTTAAATAAACTCTCCCTAAAACAAATAAATCTACTAATAAGGAACGGACCGCAACAGATTAGTCTCTATAGTTAAAAATTAACTCCTTGCAGAAGTGCTGGCAGAATACTGACGAAACATGATCCATCATGCTTGTGTGAAACATACTTTTTTTTTTTTAACAATAGGTATTTCTAAACCCAAGCCAAATATTGCTATTTCTAGTGGGAAAAAGATGTACACTTTTTCACAGCTATATAGCTTTACACAAGAACGCAAGATGCATATCAGTAATCTGATAGTCAAGTGTTTTTTTGTTTATTTCCCAGAGGCAGAAGAGATGAGAACTTGAAAACAACAGGTTTCAGGACCAGCCTTCCCTCACTACCCCAAACCCATTTTTGTTTGAATAATACTGTTACTTAGACAAACAAAAGAGTAAATTATGGTTTTCTTGTACATACCTCGGCCATACACCTCTATACCTGAATGGAATACTCCAATTCCAAGGGAAGAAGTATACTCATTCATCCAATACTAAAAAGAAAAAAAGAACAAAAAGGCTCTAGTTAGTTTCCAATACAGATTTGTCTCCTCACAGCACATCAAAAGCATAAAAGCCAACCACAAAACCGAACTGCACAACCCAGTTTTTAACAGGAACAGGACACGCTATTAAAATTCCCCAACTATACACAGTCAATTAATTCCATTAGGTTTTACTCGATGTTTTAGTGCTGTCAGTGCCTGTCAACCAAGGAGACCATATTGGGGAGAAATCCAGATCAACTTTATTTGTCAACAGCTTACAAAAGTTTCCCATGAGTTGACTACATGCTGGAATCAACTACAAAAATTTTGCAGGAGTGCTTTTTTTTTTTTTTTGGAAAGAACATCAAAACGTAGGACTAACATACACACACCAATTGTCCCTTAGAGCAATGACCATTTTTTCTTATGACCAGATGATGACAAGACGCTCAGAGATATTTAAGATGAAATTACCTTGTATTACGTCTTTGATTACTCAATTGGTAATCACCATACAATAGCCTAAACTCTCAGCAGGCTCCTGACGTATCTGTCTCCACGCATCAAGTGCAAGACCTGTGCAGACACCTGGTATGTGTTTCTAGCATATCACTTCTATGATAAAAAAACAGATTGCAGCTGTATTTCAAAGTTATCACTTCCTGGGTTTTTTTAATTCTAACACACAAACCACACTCCCCCCAAAAAAAGGAAAAAGAAAGAAAAAAACTTCTTGTCACTATTTTCTATTTAAAAAGTAGCAGCAGTGAGGGCCTATCAGGAGCTAACAATTATCCTCAACACCACAAAGGCATACAGAGTTTGAAAAAAATGAAAACCTCAAAGTTACTGCCTTTTCTTGGCTACATCACCACCTTGAAAATATCAGTCTCCAAGGAGCAAAAAAATTTTGGGGTGAAACAATTTAAAGAGGAACCTCAAACAAAGGCTTCAAAGAAAAAAGTCTAAGCAGCGTCCTTAAAGCTGAAATTGGCTAGCAAGGAAAACCTCTCAAAAATACATGAAAAACATTATTTTGTCAATTACTCCAGTAGTGGCAACTTTCCTCCCAGGTCACCCAGACCTGAAGCACACCGCAGACTTCAAAGAGTCAGCTGGCAGTCAGGATACAGACTGAGGCAGCATCCTCAGCGAGTTATTACTTGTTTCGTAAACAGGAAGGAGAAAAATCCATCTTATTTGCACAAACTGTTGACACAGTAAGCGCTTTCTGATGTGAAGTCACTATTAAAACATCACAACCGATGATATAAATGTAAAAGGTTACAGATGTCACACTGTTGATGTGTACTAGCCGGGGCTGGTACATAATTTACAGACATTTTAGTCATCCTGGCATTTAACGTGCAGTGGGAGAATGAGCCGTTTTTCCTCCAGTGAGGATCATTCTCAATAAGTTTTGGACTGAGAAGCTTCTTTGTGAAAATCAAAGGAAGTTAAATGGCAAAAAGAGCAAGTCAGGCCACATATTACAAGTTTTCAGGCGTCAGAAATGCATGCATTTGGCTTTCACAATCAGCCTTACCCTGAGGATTGTCAAACCTAGAGGCAGTGGTCTCCCACATTCGGTTACCCGCAGTAGCCAAACATCAGCACCCCATTTTTTCCAGCCTAAACTTGACAGCAGCGCTGCAGGCACGGGACTTCAGCGACTAAGGACTTAATGATCATGTCTCCAGAAATGCCAATTGTGGGAAATCTTGTCAATGTGAGTTAGCAGCAGGCAGGTCTTGCTCCTTGTGTTTATCGAAAGCTAGCAGTCACTGAGATCTGGGGGCACAGTTTGCTTCAGAGTAAGCTTCACACTCAGCTTTGTTAAGGGATCACTGTGCTAGTGAGCATGGTATAGATGACCACAGTAAATCACCACCTTAATCTGTTTAAAGGCTTCCCAATTCTCTCCTCCCTCTCTCCAGAAGAGAGAGCAGAGCGCTCATCCACATGCATCTAATCAGCCTTTTCAGGTCAAGCTACCTCCAGAAACATGTGGGGTTAGGTTTGCTCTGTACAGAACGACGGAACAGGGAGGAGAGAAGAACAGGGGATGCAAGGAGAGAGGTAAAACTGCCCAAATAACATAATGAGTTCACGAGCATAAAAAATAGACCGTTCATTGAAGGGAAATTAAAACTTACAGGAGAATGCAAGAGAGTCCCAAATGCAGACCTGCTTCAGTTCTGAAGCCAGTTTTCCTCACTTCTCCAGCTCACTGTTTCAAAATAGTTTTACTTTTTTTTACAATCAGAACTACAGGAATATTCAACATATGAGTTGTCAGCACAGGAAAAAAGTTTATTTGCCTAGGGAGAATGTGTCCAAGTCTCTGTAACCTCACACTGAGCCGGTAAGCAGCCCTGGTTAGTGGCAGCACTTCAGTATGAGGGGCTCATATGGCTCCAAAAACTGAGCAGTGGTAGCAAATTTAACAAGTGTTAGCAGCTTGAAAGAAGTGCCTACAGCACTGCACTTAACACTTCCAGCAAGAACCGAGTAGGTTAACTGATGAATTTCAATACTGCAGAATTACTTCCCCCTAGGAACAGTAATTAGATCTAATTATTACTTAATCTGGATCAGTTATTGAAAGGTGGGTCACATCCTCTCATTGAGCAAAATGCTTTATCTCACTGAGGAAAGGAACACGGGAAAATGCAGCTTCAAGTGTGCTGAATTTGGCTGCAGCTGGCAAGGGAAGGTACAACTTACAGAATAGAGATTGCCCGTAAATGAGATATATACAGCTCAATGGTTCAGTAACACGACAAACTCTGGAATCCCAAACCGATCCCAAAAGCTACATCCTTGCTTTCATTACACAGAACAGGCTCCCTTCACCTAGTTTTGATCTGAATTTAACTACAGTAGAACGTGTAAGAGCACTGTCCCACATCCTCAGTATTTTGCAGTCAGTCAGTCCTGTGAAACAGGGATTGGTGTTTAATGCTCGTATCAACAGAAATTAGAAACATTTTTCTATGTGGGAAATAAAGCCAAGTCACTGATACAAAAAACACATTAATCCTACTGCTTCAAAAGTATCTTTGTTACACTCTTCAGAGCTTTCATTTATGTTAATACTTTAGATTGTTACAGCTTTACTTGATGAGTGAAAAAGACTGTGCTACTTTGGGCACAAAAAAAATAGAGTCCTCCCCCCCCCCTCCAGAAAAAAAAGAAAGCAATTTTACTATATTAAATACTCCAGTTCTCAAAACACTGTAACTGTTTTCATATGACCCTTTCTATAATAAGTTTTCAAAGGCATGAACAGAAGCACACAAACATGCCCTTAAGTTTCTTTCCCTCCAGGAAGCTGCCACTACAAGAAAGTAAACTCTCAAGCACAACACATACACACCCCTCCTCAGCCTCTGGTGTTATCCCAGATTTTCTCCTTCTCAAATGCTAAGGAAAGCAGAAGGTACATGCTCTGAAGTGAACCAACTCAGTCCTGTACACAGCTCCAGCAGCAGCGAGGTCACCCATGAGTCCCCTGCATATCTACCTGGCTGTTTTGGGAACTGAGCTACAGCTAGCACCCGGGTTAACATGAAGCTGTTCCTAAAACTGCTGAAGCTACAGCAGTGCTGGTTCTGTCAACAAGTGACTAATAGTGTTCTCTGGTTCAAAAAAAAAAAAAAAAAAAAAAAAACCAAAACAATAACAACCCCACAAAGCCCAAACTCCCCCAGAACTCCTCCAAGTGCTGTGAAACACCAGAAGCGAGAGCAGCAAACCTGCGAGGGCCTCAACACACAATTGGTGGCCTTTGATGAAGGAGTAGAACTTCAGAACGGCTGCAATAAAAGATTCTTCCCTTCTCCCCCCTTGCACTTAGTGCTCCAAACGATGCATTACCGATGATTTCAGTAGGCTTCCTTCATGCGGTAACAAATGCTATACAACATGAAAGTCAGGCTTTAGTTTAGGCTCCTGCTTCAAACCAGCTTAAAACAGACTGAGACATCGTTTGTGAAAGAGTTCAAGGCTGTGCACAGACAGTGGCGTTCAGACACCGTCAGAAGCTCTGTTTTTCTTTCCAGTTATAAGGAAAACTGTTTCTCTAGCTGTCAAATAACATAGATGTCATTATAAAACAGCAAGCACAGCTGAAGTAGGATAAAGCAATATTTTGCTCAGGGGTCTCAGCTTGCACTGTGTATAATTTGTGGTGATGTACAGCTTTGACAAGTACCACAGCTGCAGACCAACACACAAAAACCCACCCCTATGTGACCAGACATCCACTGGTAAGGCCGCTTGTTGCTTGTTTCTTTTGGACAGTGCGTGCTGAGTAGAGGTGGTGGCTTTGCAGACTCCTATACTTCTTGCTGTGGGCAGAGCCCTCCCAAGCACAACAGGACAGCTGTTAGAGCCCTCTGCACAAACCAGGGCTAGTTTTTACGAGCACGACCTTCCTGTTGCTTCCCCTGCTCCTGTCAGACCTGCTAGGGGAAGTGAATAAAACCCACCTCCAGACTCAGCTCTGGAGGATGCATATTCCTGCAAAGATGTCTCAAAAATAAGTGACAAAGCACTGAAGCAGCACTGAAGCCACCCCCCGCCCGCAAATGCTCTCACAGTGAGAACAGATTTTGTAAGACCATCACATCACCATCTAAGCAGGTGTTTACACATGAGGCCATCTCTTCTGTTAGTTTTCACAGCTGCCTGTAAGCAGGGCTCTGACAACCCCTGGCACAGCCACGCATGCCTCTGCAAGGACACTGGATCTTCCCCATTCAGAAGTCAGAGGTGTGTCAAGCCTTTGCCTTTGAAGATAACATCTTGGGTATGAGTCTTGAAAGTAAAGTCCTGCTTCTTCCTCTGTACAAGTATTCATAGTTAATATACATAAAAACAGCTCTCTTAACGCTAGAGGAGCTCCTCCTATGCACGTTTGTAAATTGTAGCCCAAAGAAGTCATGCATACCTGTGTCATAAAGCATCCATTCCAAACCTCCCGTAAATAAAGCACGCTGGCTTTGTCGTACGGCATCCCATATGTGCACAACCAGGTGAGCAAAACCCCACTTTCTGCCCCTCTGAGGGGTCACAGTGACGGTGTTGCTCCTGTCCCCAGCCTTTCCCCCCCACTCTCGGAGAGGAAGGGAAACCAAAGCAGGACTAACAGGTTACGCGTGCTGGTGACAGAAATCCAGCACGGGAGGTGACACAGGGAATCCTTTGGCAGGGACGTTACTTTCTTCCGCTCCAATACTTACCACAGAAACCAGTGACAGGGATCAGAGTAGCTGCTATAATTTCACATAGTTTTATGCGAGCAGCTCCCTGCTAACTGCTGGCAAACACTCCAGCACTTGAGCCTGAGTGCTCCCAAGCACAAAGACGCATTTTCTCTCTGCCAGCAGCCAGACTCCACACTCCACACCTTTGCCCTTTCAAAACACCAAAAGTTTACTTTAAAATGGTGGCAGCGGCAGGGGGAAAGCCTCTCCACAACCAGCCAAGTAAGGCAAACACTGCTGCTACCTGGAGCTGGCTGTGAGGCGCCACCGTCCCCGCACCAGGTGACCCAAAACACGGGCAGAGGAGGACTCGCGGCGCTCGTCCTCCTTCCCAGCGGCTGACGGGCATTAGCGGATAATATTTTCCTCACATCGCTGATCCGCGGGGCCTGTGCCCTGCTCACACCTCACTCCTTACCATGGCGGCTGAGCCGGACCCCGGGCAGCACCGCAGCTGCCGCCGGTGTCCCGGGCAGATCCCAGGGCACAGGACCACGAGCCGGGCTGAGGCAGTGCCTTCATTTCTCCCCACACAGAGGCTGTTCGCGAACCCTTCAAACCCCGAGCAACTTTTCTCCCCGCAGCGGCCCCCAGCGGGGGGAGCACCCCCCTCCCCCCCGAGCAGAGGGGAGCCCCCCGGTGCCCCTCACCATGTCGTAGACGTTGAGGACGACCAGCTGGTTCGCCATCGCCCCGCCGGGCGGCTATCGCGGCGCGGGCACCCCCGGGGGCCGCTTCCTCCTCGTCCTGCCTGTTGCTGCGGGGCGGCGGGGGGCGGCGGGCACCATGGAGCCGCCGCCGCGGAGGGACGGGGACGGTGCCTCGCCCGCGGCCGGCGGCGGGGCCGGGAGCGGGCGGGGCGGAGAACGGGGCGGGGGGGGGGGGGGAGAGAACGGGGAGCGGGAGCGGGCCCCGCCCCGGCGGCCAGAAGGGAGCGGGAGAGGGAGGGAGGGGAGGAGGGGAGAAGGCGGTGAGGGGCGAGCGGCGGCGGCCGCCGGGCAGCCCCCTCCGGTGGGCGCAAAATGGAGCCGCTGCGGCCCGCCCCCGCCTTCCGCCGGGCTGCCGGGGACTACAGCTCCCGGCGTGTCCCGCGCACGGCCGCCGCCGCGCAGGTGTGCGCAGGGGGCTCCCCTCCTCTCCCCTCCCCTCCCCTCCCCTCCCCTCTCCCGGCCGCCATCTTGTGTGGGGGAGCGCTGGGGCCCGGCCCGGGTGCGTGTTTCTGGAGAAGGACAAATGTTTTCTGTCTTGCAGCGCCTAATCTGAGGCGCGAATTGCGTTTACAAGCATATACACTGCTACATAAAAGGTGCCCTTCGCAATAGGGTGCCCCCTTGAGAAGATGTACCTCACCCCACTAGCGCTCTGGCTCCTGTTACCCTCACCTGCAGTGTCCCCGGGAGGACAGCCCCTTGGCACGCAGAACAGCTCCATTCCCTCCAGTACTGCAGGGCGACTGAAACAGACAGTTACAAAAGCATCATGGAATCACAGAATCATAAAGGTTGGAAAAGACCCCCAAGGTCATCTGGTCCAACCATCCCCCTACCAATGTCACCCACTAAACCATGTCCCCAAGCACCACGTCCAACCTTTCCTTGAACACCCCCAGGGACGGTGACTCCACCACCTCCCTGGGCAACCCGTCCCAGTGCTTGACTGCTCTTCCTGAGAAGAAATGTTTCCTAATTTCTAACCTAAACCTCCCCTGGCGCAACTTGAGGCCATTCCCTCTTCAGACAGTGATCTTTGGTTAGAGGAAATGGTATCGTTGCAAAAACCTGCCAAAGGTTTGGCTGCTGGTTGTCAAATACGAAAATTTATACACCAGCCTAAGAGACTGGTGTATAAACCTCAGGTCCATCTGAGCTGCTGAGGGCTGCTGGCAGTAATCCCTTAGTTGGCCAGTGAAACCGTAAGCCTGTGGACAGGATGCCTGTAACTCCTTTGGGTCATGTTCTTCATCTGCTCCTTTGGCCGGCAGCTAGGAAACAAGCCGGCTGTTACGAAACCAAAAGGTTTTGTGGAAAGAAGGCTGCTTCCATATCGGGGAATACTGTGGAAAATATGATTGTATCTTAAAAACAGCAGGGGTCAAAAACCTTCTCTGAAAAGGCAGGGACTTCTTTTCCAGCTAACAGTATGCATTAACTGGAAAAGAGAAGTACAAAAGTCTGCAGTGACTTCTAGCGAATGATTTTCTTCATTCTCCTGCTTGTTCCTTGTCTACAAGATGCAATGTGAAGAAGAAAGAGGAAAACATAACTTCTAGCCTATAGTGATAGGAGAGAGATAAAATCCATATTTTTTGAAGAAGGCTGAAAAAATAAAGTTATAAGGTGTCATTTATTTGACTTGGAAGCTGAACTTTGGTATTTAAATATTAGACTTACTACACAGAGTAGTGCCATAATGCTATATCTCTCTCTTCCTCAGTGATACAGTGATATTTTCGTGCCATTATCTGCGAAAGACAGGAAAATCCTTTTGAGCAAAAAGACTGGAGATTAGCTAGGTGTCAGACACAATGTTAAACATATGTGAATGCTGCAGAAAGTTATGCCTTACATGGTGTTTTCATACCAGGTTGTATTTATAGGTTTAGTTTGGAGAGTGAGCAAGTACGGTATGGGGCTACTTCAAGATACTATGATCAGTTTGGCAATTTGGATGTTAAAATATTATCAGAGGACAGCATATGATTTTCAAGATCTCACTCCATATCTGCAACCTGTACCTTACCTCTCCAGTGATGAAGGGGTAGAAAACCATGATTTCCTGAGGCTTAGTAAGGATGCAGATAAGGACAATATTATGGACTCCGCAACAGTGGAAACTACAGGACTACTAACTAATCCAGGGATGTCCACCAGTGGTGATGGTAAAACATACTTTGACCTGTGATACTACAGTACGTGGCAATAAAGTACACAAAAAAACTCTTTCTACTGTATAAATTTCTATCACATTTGGTACCAAAGTGGAGGTGCTACAGAAATGGCTGTCAGTTTAGGATTTACCGATGAGAAATCAGAAGATTGCAATGATAGAACAGTAAGTACCCAGTAAATAAGGTCCCAAAAAAGCTGCTGACTATTCAGGCCCTGCATGCTGATGGCATAGAGGAGCTGAAACTGATGCTGCTACTTTGGCATGCACAGAATCAGTGACACCTTGGCTGAGTAACTGTGGTAACCAAAGTTCTTGAGCTCATGGGGTCTTTGTTCATTGAAGATGACTTTTGATCCTAAGTAGCTACAGTTTGGAAAGTCTTATGAGAAGGTGGTGGAGAGGAGTCAGGCCAAGCTCTTCTTTCCATGTTAGGATGCAGCACAGGCTGCTCAGGATAAGTCTCCTACAAAGTATTACTTCCAGGACCCCTGAGCCTGTACTTTAGGCATCTTAGGTTAGGGGGTAGTGTTCAGCAGTGGACACTGTTACCTCAAAAGAAGTGTTAATGTGTGAACTCCAGGGCTTCTGCTTTGTAAAACTGAAAGCCAAGCTGCTTGGGCCTTGAATCGGAACCTAGAAAATCTCCTCAGAGAAGAACAAAAAACAAAATCATTGTCTGTCCGTCTGTGAAGTTTTATTACATTTAGTTTATACCGTAACATTTTAAATTGCTTGTACGGGAGAAATGCATTTAAAAGAGCAGTCAGTGTTCATGTGTTTATGGAAAACGCCATTTTCTGGTTTGTTTTCAAAGATACAGAAACAGTGGAGGAGCACCAGTTTTCAGCCGTAATGGAGAACTGAGAGAACACCAAGGCAGCTTAGAGTCACAGAGAAATGCAGAGTGCCCCACACAGGTGTTGCTGCAAACCTCCTGTGCATCCCACACATCAGACACTCTCACAGGTAAGGTGGAACACAGATGGGCAAATGCTCCAGGAGGAACTGGAGGGCTCTAATTTGTACTTCAGCCCATGGACCAACCTGTTTTAAGGGAAGACTGGCTTCAGTAGGAACAGATTTTCACTGCAGGTGAGATTTCTAAGTTGATTACCATTTTTTTTTTCTGATTTCAGTCTTGGTACAAACTGTACAGAAATAGATGGGATATGAGTCATGCAAAATGAATCAGTAACAATGTTTAAAAATGTGCATGTATTCAAGCCAGATTTCTACAGCTTTTCATAATCTTTATGATTTTTTTCATAAACTGTGAACATCAAATTAGATTGTAACAATTTCACCATTTATTCACTATCGGGTTTAATTAAACCTATTTTAGGAAAAATAGAAAAAATGCCATTAACAGCATAAGCTCTGCAAGGTACCTTAACTTGACAATAAGAAAATTCTGGCTAGAAGTGCAAAAATGTCTTCATCTGGAATTAAAAAGTAGATGCAAGTAAGACTTAACTGTTATAACAAATATTATAACCCTTACTTTTATATACTGAAGGAGTGAATAAGCTTGAGAGGATATACAATCCAAATACATGTTATTAAGATAGAATTAACATCTGTTAAATATCAGTAAAACATGCAGTATCAAAAAAAAAAGTCTTCAAGAACATATAATATTCCCTTTGTGCACTGTGCTACTCAGTTTTGTAACTGAATTGGCTGCAAACCTTCTACAGAGTGGAAAATTTGCACAAGTTGTTCTATCAGACTTTACATTGAAAAGTAATGCTAATTATCTCAGGTAAGCCAGTGAAAGCCATAAAGAGGTGAAAGTAACTCAAGCACGAGGCTCACACCTGTAGCTACCACTGACCTTTAACATACAAGTTAAAGTTATATTGACTAGCATGCCCTTTATATATGAAACTCAATAAATGAAATAATATTATAGAGATATTAAAAGTGCTTACAAAACCATCCTTTAATAAACAAGATTCATTTGATTACGGTTCAAGAATAAAGACTGTTTTAAATAAAAGGTACTGGGGTATTTAGAAGTTCATTTGGTTTAAAAACCTTACCAATACCACGTATCTTTTGTACAGAACACAGGAAACAAATTTAATATATTAAATAATAGTCATATTTAGAAATGTTTACTAGCTGATGCCTTTCCATTATTAGTGCATGGACTGCAAAGAATGCTATTAAATCACAAACACTGAAATAAGAAAAGCTGTTAGGTTATTTTCATAATTGAGAGCAAAGGCAGAGAATCTTATGAAACTGTCCAGTACCCAACATCACCCATCCTTGCATATTTAATGAAAAAATTGAGTTCTTGTTAAACAGATTAGAATTAGCATTAAAATTATTTAAATCCTTCTGTAGTTATAAGTAACGCTTGAATTATTTTGTAAAATTTTACTACATTTGCAGTTATGATTAATTTTTCTGCAGTAGAGTCAACATTTGTGAGCATTCGGGTGTGCAAATATGGATTTTTACATGTGCCATGCCTTGGAAAAAGCACTTTCTACAAGAGTCACCCCAGCACTATCCACAGGGCTTTAACCATGAGGTAATATGTCTCTGCATAAATCAGGATACAAAGGAACACATACAGCTTTGAGAGAGGTTAGAGAAAGCTTGGTAACAGTCATCTCTTTACTGTAGGTTTAGTGTAAGCAAGGAATATTGCAGAAACTGCAGTGCATTAACCAGTCCTCACTGTTTTCAGACTGACCTCTCTGCTGGTGGTTCAAGCATGTACACTTGAAAAAGGAGAAGAAAAGCTTAAACTCTCGTTTTTCAGGTTGTGAAAAAAGGTACTGGCACAGGAAACTTTTTGGTTTCAGGTGTAAGGGTAGCTGTTAGAAATACACAACAAGGAAACGTGAACAATGTTTGTTTTATTGACTTGTTAGAATTTACAGATCTATTGTATATTCCCCCAAGTATATGGAATGTGGGGTAGTACACTGAATATTATACAGATCAACTTTTTTTTTTTTTTGTACTGGACGAAAATG